AGGTGATGTTGTACATGGGGGTGGTGGGGCTGAGGAGGGGACCCCGGGGAGCTCTGCCAGGGACATGGAGGCCACGGGCGAGCGCTCAGTGAGCAAAGCAGCCAAACCCACCTGGGAGCCCCAGGTATGAAATAATAAAGAGAGCGGAGGCGCGGTGGCCGCTGCTCCCGCCGACATGTTTTATTGACAGTGGTGGTACTCAGCTGGAGCAGCCCCAGCTCCCCGGGAGGGGTGTGCAGAGATCCCTGCTGCCCTGGGCACAAATATAGGGAGAAAAAGGGAAAACAGCTGTTGTGTCCCCCAGAGTGGGCTCAGTGGGGACGGTAAAGAGGCAAGGGAAAGCAGGGGCTGTCCCCAGCAGCAAGGGGAGGCTGGGGGTCGATGCTGGGACCACATCACCCTGAGCATCACAGGGACTGCTCTGTACGGGGCATCTCCCAACTACACATCCCCATCCCCCTTGCTGGAGGGGAGCAGAGCTGCTCCCAAACCCCTTGGACCTGTCGCGGAGCCCCCCAATGAGATGGAGTCACCATGGGAAAGGCCTCCAACCCCCTGAGCACCCTGACAGCTCTGCTGCTGCAGGGACCCACCGGCTCAGCCCATGGGAGCTGCTCCGAGAGCACCAAGTCTTTTCTCCTTGCAAAGCATGAAGTGTTGATGCCATCAGTGCAGAGGGAGTGAGCTGCCACCCAGCCCCATCATCCCCCTGTCCCTCCCGCCACCTCCCCTTCTCGTTCCACCTGCGGGACAGAGGCTGTGATTTTCCCCTGACCCCAGCCACGGCTGTCACAAAGAATTGCAGGGCTGCCAGAAAACTGCAGATTCAGAGAGACAAAGACTACTTTCCCCAGAAACGAGGGGAAAAATGCTGCATCTGCAAAGATTTCCCAGGCACTGTCCCCTCCTGTGCACATCTATCTGGAGTGACACCTTCCTTCAAGCACCCTTCATTTCATTCGCCATCCCGCAACCATTTGCATTAAGGTGACCCTGGCTGCGGTGGGGATGGATGGCCAGGGTCTGGGTGGCCATGGATGTCCCATCAGCCATAGGGGATGCTCCAGGTTTCTTCCCCAGCCCATGGAGTGAGGCTGAAGATGCAAACGGCACTGGGATGAATGGCAACCCACCCTGAAGGACCTCCATAAGGACACAGCCCCAGGCTCAGCTCCTCCATGTGCACTAAAAGGTGATGTCAAAGGGGAGCTTTCAGCAAACAGAGGGTCGAGGAGTTTGCCCTGTGCTTGTAGACTTGGAGCCCCAGCTTTGGGACACAAGGGGCACTCAGGAGCAGCAGGACAGTTGCAGATATTGGTGGGAGATGTCCACCACTGACAGCCTCGTGTGGACAACCAGGACCTGGGCTCAACCTGACCCCTCAGCACCCTGCGAGTGCAGAAGTGACAGGAGGAATGGCTGCTGACTGGATACCAACGTCGAGTGGTTTGGGATCGGCAGTGTGAGCAGGGACCGTGTCCCTGTGGCTGTCCCAGCTATCACAGCACCTTCAGCTCCATGGCTTTGTGCCCTCCCATCCCACACACTGCTGCTCCCCACCTCGCTGGTGTCCCCAGTTCCAAACATGCCTGCTGGGACACGCGGATGGGCTGTGACGGCCGAGGGACCCATCTGAGCGTTGAGGGTTTCAGGAGCAGAGCTGTGCATGGCCAACGCTCTGTTTCCTACAGCCACACAAATCCCAACTGGGCTGGAACACACCAAACCCTGCAGCTCTGCCCGGGAGATGCATCCAGCTGTTTTCCAGCCTTCGAGCTCCAGCATCGCTGCCTTCCCACCAGCACCAGGAACTGGGGGCTGATCCCCTTCGCAGGTGACCCCCTCTATGTGTGGCTGCAAGATCCAGAGCGGTGGCAGCTTTACAAGTCCTACGGCATTTTGCTGGCAGGTTGTGTTACCTGGCAACCCGCAGTGGGGAGAGGAGGGAAACGCTCAGCCAGTGGCACCAGTAACGCTCCAAATTGGGGTGTGGATCCCCACAAACCCCCCCAGTACAGCAGCCCTGCAGCCTCTGCCGCATCTTCCTGCCCCACCATGGCCATGGCCCTCGTGGCTCCGAGGGTTTCTGCCCTCTGTCGCACAGCCACAACCTCCTGGATCTTCTTGCCAAGGCTTTCAGGCAGCTGCAGGACATCTCCCTGCTGACCATGTAGCAGCTACCCTGGTTCTTGATGTCCTCTGGGGACATCCATGAGGCTGGAGGTACCGATGTCTCCAAATCACACCTTCCTAAGGAGAGCAGAAACTGTGAGGGTGGGAGGTACCCGGGATGAGTGAAGCTTCACTTGCAAACCTGCTCTGGAGCTGGGGCTGGAGCTCAGGAGGGAGGAACGGAGGCATTGCTGCCTTCCTGGTGCAAAGCTGAGCCAGACCCTCCATGCCCTGCACTGGCTCAGGCAGGATCTCTATGCTTGGCCACTGTGCCCCGTGGGAGACTGGTCCCCAATGCCCCAGCCACGCTGTGTGAGCAGCCTGTGGGCTGCCCTGCACTCCAGGGCTGTGGGTCCCTGCAGCCCCAGTGCCCATCATCCTCTCACCAAGCACCCCCAGCCAGCTGGAGCGGCTGAAGGATACGAGCCCACTTGTCCCCACGGCAGCCGGAGCAGAGCTGGAGGTGGGGTGGCTCCTGGGGAGCATGAATGGAGAGTGGTGGCAGGAGAGGCTGAGTTCTGCTGTGGGAGATGCTATTCGAGGAGGAGATGCCCTTTGCCTGCTCACCAGGCAAGCTCTGCACTGTGGGATGGTGGGCAGCTCTGGGTGCTCTACCCCTGAGCTGTGTCCTCTGCCAGATATGAACCAGGACCCCGGTTGTGCTTCTAAGGCAGGTGGACACTGTGGTTTGCATCACCTTTTTTTCAGCTGCTGGGGCAAACTTTAGTCCAGGTACCCCCACCCTACTGCCGGGGTTCGCCCAGCCCTGAAGGAGCCTCAGGGCAGCAGGGGATGGTTTTGCCCCTCACAAGCCATTGCTCACTCCAGAGCTACTCAAGCAGCTCATTCTGCATCCCAGCCCCTCGCCCTGCACTGTCCCTGTCCCTTTCCTCCTCCCTGTGGGTCCAGCTCTGCTCTGCTCAGCTTTGTGCAGGGCTGCAGCCCCCACCCCCGCCCCCCCCTGGTCAG